TTTAAATCAATCAATATCTGTCGAATTTTAAACGATTTGTGGAAAAATAGTATGTTTACCTCGTAGGAAAAGCCACATTCCTGGACTCTGTGTTGCTTACTTCTCGGCTTGCGCCTCGACTTAGCAATCTTCACAGTCGTCCAGGAATGTTAAGCTTTTCCTACCCGGTAAACAATGTACTATTATTTACGTATATGACAGACTGCATACCTGTTATTTCACGACAAAATTACTTATATAAAATATCTATTATGCACTATAAAATATCTAATTTTTCTTTATTTACAATTAAGGCGCATCAACCCAAGTGGATATGAACGCCGGTATTACAATTTTTTACATTTTTGATATATAATAAATACAGATTTTGACATACATAGATTTTAACATACATAAATCTGAGTTAAATAAGTACATTGGTTAATAGAAGCAGTGACTATTACACATTTATTTGTACACGCACTGATATTTAAATTTCGTTGTTAATTCCTATTGATTTTAGAAAACTTAAAACAGACAAATAGACACAGTTTTCTTCCAGACACTTGCGTAGCGTTGTCGGTATGTTACACTTTTTTCTCTCATTTGAATATGCAGGGCATTCGATTAAACAATGTTGGACACTTAAACTGTTGGAACACTTAACCGCACATTGAATAAACACTTCCAGTAATATAGTATTCATGTGTTAAGCGTCTATGTCCTAATCTCAGTCTGTTTGTCATAATTTGGTCTTTCCTGTTGCTACATATATTCTTCCATCTTCTAACTGTTGTTTTTATGTCTCGTAGTTTTTGTTGAGATTAATTCCATTATTGAAGCCACCGTTCTTTCATTGTCGAGTTATTCCAGTGATGAAAATCTTTCTTATAGGTAGGTTCTATCAAGTCTTCGTTGTTAACTGAAGATTTGGCGGCAGCAGCTACTCTTTCATTACTTTGTATACCTAGTATTGTTCTGAAGCTATTTTCTTTGACATTTTAAAGTAATTATTTAAATGGGAATAAGCCACAATTAAAGGCTAAAATACTTTTATTGACGTTTCAATTTCCACTTGGAAATCGTTGTCAAAATACAAACATTAGTAATGTTTTGTAACTTCCTAATGTTTGTATTTTGAGAACGATTTCCGAACTGGAACTTGAAACGTCAATAAACGTATTTTAGCTTTTAATTGTGGCTTATTCCCATTTAAATAATAATTACTTGTATACCTTTATGTTATCGAATCCACATAAATTTTACAATCTTTTCCTGAAGTTGGTACAAATGATTCTTTATCAATCGCAACAATGGATGAGTTGGGTAAATGGTGCCCAAACTACTCATGGAACTTAAGGAATCTGCTATTATTAGGCACCTGTCTAAGTTGTAGATTGCAAATAGTACTCCTGTATATACTATGCTAAAATTTGAGATTTTGTATGAAGCAGTGTAGTCGTTGTGTATGAGGGCACATCCCACTCCTTTTTCTGATTTGGAGGCGTCAGTATCAATATGTTGGTAATTCTGTACTGATCAATTTTACTGTAAAATTCTTTAACCATAGAGGAAACATTAAGTTAATTACTAGTCTTTATTAAACTCAAGTCTAGGAAGAGTTTTCTGACCATCCAAGGAGGAGCGGTTAAAAGGGTGGTTTGGTATATTTTAAGGAAGACAATATTATTGCTGGTCATGTATATATTCATTATCAATCAGCCACTCGCTTCCACTACTGGACATAGGCCTCCCTCAGTTCTTTCCAGTGTTCTGTACACTGGGCCGCTTGTAGCCAGTTTCCCGCTACACGTTTTATATCACCGGTCCATCTAGTCGGTGGTCGTCCTCGGCTTCTTTTATAGTTTCTGGGCCTCCATTCCTTAATACGTCTTGTTCACCGTCCATCTTGTGTTCTGGCTAGTGCCCTGCCCAGTTCCACTTAAGCGTCGTGGTTCTTTCGATGACGTCTTGAACTCCTGATCTTTGCCTGATTTGTTGGTTTGTTATGTGGTCTCGAAGGCTTACGTTCAGCATTGCACGTTCCATGGCTCGTTCTGTAACTCTGAGTTTAATCGCAGATTTTTGCGTGAGTGTTAAAGTCTCTGCTCCATAAGTTTGTATAGGTAAAACACATTGGTTATAAACCTTTCACTTGAGACACATGGGAATTGAACTTTTTAGAATATGTGGCTTAATTTGCCAAATACTGCCCATGTGTTTGATTGTCTCTGCTTATTTTGATTTCATATCCCAGATATTTGTAAGTGTCTGTTTGTTGTATGGTATTATTGTCAATAGTTTATATTTCCACTCATTACGAGATTTGTTATAAGTTTAGTTTTCTCAAAGTTTATCTTTAATCCTGCTCTTTCAGACAGACTTTTAAGCGAATGCATCATAGAAACTGTATCATGTAAATTATCTGCGATTAATACAACATCATCTGCAAATCTTAGGTGATTTAATCTTTCTCCATCTATATTGATGCCCATATCATGCCATTGAGTGCTCTTAAATATTGACTCTAGAGCTGCCGTGAACAATTTTGGTGAAATATTGTCTCCTTGTCTAACTCCTCGACCTAAGCTGAATTTTTCTGTGTCTTCCTGTAGTCGTATACTTGATGTAACGTTCTCGTATATGTTTTTAATTAGTGTAGTGTACCTGTAATCTACTGGGCTTCCAGTATTGTTTCAAACTCTACAGATTCAAAAGCCTTCTCGTAATCGACAAATGCCAGAACCAGTGGTATGTTGTACTCGATGCACTTTTCTATTAAGATCTTTATGGTATGCAAATGGTCATTTGTGCCATATCCTGCTTTGAAGCCTGCCTGTTCTTTGGGCTGACAGAAATCAAGTTTAGGTGTTAGCCTCTTTGTTAAGATTTTCATAAAGAGTTTGTACGTATGTGTCAAGAGGCTGATGGGTCTATAATTTTCTAATTTAGTAATACCGCCTTTTTGTGTAACAAGACTATTACTGCATTGTTTCAGTCTTTTGGAATCGTTACGCTCATGTAAGCATTTATTAAACAGTTCGCTTACTGATTTTATTAAAATTTCTCCTCCTGCTTTTATTGCCTCGATAACGAGTCCATCATTACCAGGCGATCAAAGGTCCTTCATTTTCTTTAAAGCTGCTCTTACTTCTGACACAGTAATGGGTAAAAGTATTTCCGATCCCTGATTTATGAGAGACTTTACTTGTCTCGGGAAATTGTCTTGTGGTCTTTGGCTGGTATAGAGGTCTTTATAAAACTCTCTGGGTATTTTCAGAATGTTTTGTTTATCTGTTGTTGCCTTTAATTTGTTTCCACACTATTGCTTCTGTGGTGGAATTGTTTCTTGTTGATAAAAAAAATTTCCACGATTCCTTTTTTGCTTCTTTTACCACTTTTCTAGTAATAGCCCTTAACTTATTATATTCTAGAAGATTTTCTTGTGTTTTTGTTTTTTGTATTTATTGAATGCTCTGTGAGTTAGTCTTCTTTATAGCATCCTGACAGTGATTCTTCCACCGTGATACTCCAATACGATTTCTTACTATTTTCTCTTTTCCAATGATATAATCTACTGCGGAAAGTATGACGGAGAAAAATTTATTTACTAAGTCGTTTATATGGTCATGCGGGGATGGATTTGAAAAAGAATTCAATTGATTCTCCACAAATTGTGTAAACGGTGACCAATCCTCTATTTCTGTATTCCATCTAGTCGTTGAATTTTTTGTTTATTTTGAAATGTATTACTATGGGAAAATGATCGCTTCCATACAATTGTGTACTAGCTTTCCAAGTTATGTTTCGCACTAAAGAAGGGTTTACAAGAGGTAAGTTAATACAACTAGTGTTTCCAGTAAAAGAATTAAATCTTGTTGGGGATCCATCGTTAAGTAGGGTAATGCAAGTGTTACGTGTGGCCTGTTCTTTTGTACGGAATGGAAGCATGGACGTTAAAGGCCAGTTCCAATAACAAACTTGAAGTGTTTGAAATGTGGTGCCTGCGTCGATTGCTTAGACTATCAAGGACGGACAGGGTCAGAAATGAGGAAGTACTCAGAAGAGCAGGCTTACAGGATAGGGAACTTTTTATTTATGTAAAAAGTAAGAAGACTGCATACTTAGGGCACATATTACGAGGAGAAAGATACACTTTTCAGCAACTGATACTCGAAGGGAAGATATAGGGTAGGAGAGGTCTGGGACGTAGAAAAATGTCATGGCTGCGCAATATTCGACAATGGACAGGAATCCACAGCTATGAAATGATTCGCAATGCTAATAAAAACAGAATTATTTAATCCTAACTATTTAACATCTCACCTGACAAGACGATGTATGGTGGACGCCTACGCAGAAATGCGCGGCACCTTAAAAAGAAGATTAGATCCCAAAGTGGATAGAATTTGTTTTATAATATGAGTTATCTCTTTTATACTTATATCAGTATTCGGTGGCAAATAAATATTACAGATATGTTTTACAGAATTAATGGACTTTTTATGGCTACTGCTACTGCTTTAAGGTTGGTCTTTAAAGGTATTTGTGTAGATTTTAATGAGTTATTAACATAAATAGAAACCCCTCCATAGGCTTTTTTAAAATCACGTCTGTTTTTATGATAACCTGTAAATGCCTTTAATTTTGCCAATTTTTGGTCAGTAAAATTCGTTTCTTGGAGACCTATTATTGAAGGTGAATGTTTAGTAATTAATAATTTAAGTATTTCTAGTTGTGTATAATAACCGTTTATGTTCCAATGAAAAATTGACATTTTTGTTCTATATGTTAATTTTTATTCTTGTACTTGAAATATTACAAGTTATTACAGTCATTTATTACTAATAGTTTTAAACGTTTAAATATTTTTAACAAAAAACTTATTTTTCTTATTTCTATAACACATACATATTCGTAACAGATTTTATACACGGAGATCGTATATTTCTGCCGTTGCTACAGCTCCTTAACTATACGGTTTAAAAATTCATCATACTAACAATAAATTTTTGTTTCAGCTAAATACAGTGTCTCTAAATCGAAAGATGACGTCGAAACTGGAATGTCAACCCTCAAGCTGACCCTCAGAAGGGGTGATTTACTGGCCAGGTTCGAGTGCAGGGTCGAAAGTGACGCTCTCAAAGAGCCAATCATATCATGGGTTCAAATCGATGTAAACGGTGAGTTTTCATTTTTTTTACAGCTTTCAACTTTGGATTTCATTTGAAGAGGCCACTTGACCTCATTTTTTGCTGTGACTAACAGACTTTTGGCACGAGCGCGATTAAATTGGTGTCGCTCAAAAATATTGCCAATGATTGGGGATGGATTGATTTTATAGCAATTGTTGCGAAAGCTTAGTTTGATACAGTTCATAATAGACAGTGTAAAAATTTATGCCGGTGATTTTTGTATTGTGTACAGGGAAGTACAATAGAAAATTCAAACATAAATAATAGTGCCTAGTTGAAAATGTTTCGGTTCATCTGTCTATCGTAAAAAATAAATTTTTAAAACCAGTTCAAACCTATTTTATAAAAACTATTTTCCAGATTCTCTTTTGTTATAATTGATCTTTATTTATCTTGCAATTTGCTTTCATCTAATCCTTAGTTGCATTCACTTTTCATCCACCCTCTTATCAGCCCAGTGACAATAAAATAAATTGTATTATATCACGTTTCAAATTGAGATATTTTCGGAATCAAATTTTAGCAAAAAGAAATTATTTTTTTAATTATCGGTATAGTTTCACGAAATCATTCTTCTTCTTCAAGTTCCACTCCTATCGGAGATTGGAAATCATTCTGGCAATTATAATTTTATTGGTGACTCGCCTGAATAGTTCAATTGAACTGCATCCAAACCACTCACGGAGATTGCGTAGCCACGAGATTTTACGTCTTCCTACGCTTCTTCTACCTTTGATTTTACCCTGCATTATATTCCTTAGTAGTTCGTACTTTTTACCTCTCATGATGTGCCCCAAGTATTCCAATTTCCTGATCTTTATGGAATTTAAAACTTCGCATTGTTTTCCTAGTTGTTCGAGAACTTTTTCGTTTGTTTTGCGATCCATTTATGATATTTTTAAAATGCGTCGGTAACACCACATTTCGAATGCTTCTAGGTTTTTAATGTTGGATTTTTTAAGTGTCCAAGCTTCAACTCCATACAAAAGGGTAGAGAAAATATCGCACCTTGAAAACCATATGGCAATATCTGCAATTTTTTCGTAAAATGACCTTTGAATGGAGTCTAATAGAAAAACAAATCTATTTTTTAATGCTATATAGCAGCATCTACAACGAATTTTAAATTCAGCACCAGAAAGATACGTCCTTATGGCTTTTCTAAAAAATCGATTCTTTTTTATATACCATCAGGCATTATCTGTAGTTGTTGCTCTATGGTTCTAAAATAGGAACAAAAACTCAGATTTATTTGGCAATATCAGCAGTTAATGCCAAATAAATGCTACATTGCCGGTAACCACTTATCTGTTGTTTTCATGTTGTGAGTAAACAATCGTGTTTAATTTAGTTAAACGTAGTAAGAAGCAATTCAAGAACCGTGAACAATAGAAGTTTGAATTTTCTACAATTTTGTAGGATATTTTTCGTGTAATAAATGATGTTGGATTAACCCTTTGTCGACAGACTGTACTTAAAAGTACCATATTGTTGCCAGTCACATTTATAAAAGTGTCTACATTTGACTGAAAAAAATCACTAGAATTTCACTAGATTAAAAAAAAATATCTATGGACTAACATAATAAATGTTATATTTTCGCAATATTTTCAATTCAAAAGTTAAAGCTCTTAACGTAAATATCAATATAATATATAACAATAACAATAATTATTATGCAGAAGGAATTATTCCAAACAACCATAATTCAAATTTTATTTAATAAAATAAAGAACGGGACCAAAGTGCTCACATTATCTATTTGAAACAATTATTTTATAATATTAAATAAAATTACATAAAATTTTGCGAAGAAAAAGGTACGATGTACGGAAATTACACTACGTTTGGGACCATGTTAAACACGGAATTTAATATAAGCTTTTTTAAGACCAAAAAAGACTTCTTCTCGCTATGTGAAAGTTACAAAAATTCATTAGATAAATCTACATTGGAAGCAGCCTATAATACTCACCGTTAAGAAGTGGAACTTAGTAGAAAAGAGAAAGAAAATGAATAAAAACCTGCAACATTCAACACTTGCATTACTGCTTGTTTTGACTTACAAGCCGTCCGACACCTTCAGGCGATGTCCCCTTATTTTATTATTAAAGGAGATTATCAACATTTAATTTTACAATTTTTGACATGACCACAAATGCAGGACACTGCTGTCTTTGTTTCGAAGGAATTGTTAATCGTGGTCGTGCAAATAGCGTCGTGCCTGTTATTATTTCTGAGGAACCATGCCAGAAAACAGGAAATGATATTATATTCGGATAACTGCAGTGGGCAAAATAAGAATAAGTATATTGTCTGTCTTTATCTCTATGCAATACAGAAATTGAACATATCTAGCATTACCCACAAATTTTTGATAACGGGTCACTCCCAAAATGAGGAAGAAACATGCATTCTTTGATTAAGAAACAAAAAAAAGGGCGTTAAAAAAAAGAACAATTTATATGCCTTTTGCAATGGGTCACAGTAGTTCAAACTGTGAAAAAATCAGGTGAACCTTACAAAATTAATGAAATGTCTACATGGATATATTTTACTTTAAAACATTATGTAAGGAAATGGGAAACAATTATAACATTGATGAAGAAGGAAATCAGGTCGTCTGGAATGAGATTAAGATGATCAAGGTGAAGAAAACACTTGAAAATAAGTTTCAGGTTAAGACAAGCTACCACGATACAGAGCTCAGAACTAGTACTATAAGGCGAAGACAACGAGGGTTGGTGGCTACTACGGAACTAAGTAAAGCATATCACAACCACCAGGAATATCCACTCTAAAAAAACAGAATCTACTCTCACTATGTAAGGCTAATGTTATTCAAGAGCACTACCATAGGTTTTATGCAGTTTTACATGTAAAAAATGGAACAGTAGAAACCGAACAAACATATTACAATATGCATGACTTTGATTAAGTGTTAAAACCAAAAAATTTTAATAAATAGGTACAAGCTTAAATTAAAAAACTTTTATTTGATAGGAATTTTACTGCATCATTTTCCAAAATTAATATATTGTTTAAAACCATATGGCCGTATGTGCTAAAATACCTATTTCCTGAAGGACATTTCACATATTATTTACTGCATATAAAAACATGCAAAATTAAAGACAATTATGCTAAATACCAGGTTTGTAGCTTAATTTTTAGAATTACAGTAAATAGTATTAACTTTAAAAAAAATTGAAATGCTTATAACTCAACATGATGATTTTTGCAGTTACTACCATATGGTTTTCAAGGTGCGATATAACATCGAAGCATTCTTATCCCGAGCGATATATTGATATCGCGATTACAAAAAAGTTTTCTCATTCTATTAAAAGTTGACCGCGCAATTTCAATGCGGCATCTTATTTCTTTTGTCTGATCAGTATCTTCTGTGATCCATGCTCCAAGGTATTGGTACGAAGATATTTGTTCCATTTCTGTATTGTCTAGTACTAGCTTAACTTTGATGTTTTGTGCTTTTGTAAATACCATGAACTTTGTTTTCTTCAAATTGATTTTTAGTCCATAATCGTTGCAATATATATTTAGTTGTTCAACAAGGTGTTGCAGTTCTTCTAGTGTTCCTGCCAAAAGGACGGTGTCGTCAGCATATCTTATGTTATTAAGTGGCCCACCGTTTATTATAAGGCCCTCACTGATCTCGGCAAGCGCTAATTCTGAGATGGCTTCACTGTATAAATTGAATAACAAGGGTGATAAAATACACCCTTGGCGGACCCCACGGCGAATCTGGATATCCTTGGTCAGTTCGTTTTCAACTTTCACTTTTGCTGTTTGATTCCAATAGAGGTTACAGATTATTCTAATATCTCTACTGTCTATGTTTTTATTTAATAAAATTTCTTTAAGTCGATTATGTTGCACTCTGTCAAATGCCTTCTCAAAATCAATGAAACAGGCATATACTTCCTGATTAATATCTAAGCATCTCTGCGAAAGAACACTTATTGCAAACAGTGCATCTCGTGTTCCCAGTCCTTTCCTAAATCCCATTTGTGTATTACTTATGCCTTCATCTAATTTCTTATGTATTCTATTGTGAATTACTTTTAAAAACAATTTCAAGACATGACTCATTAAGGCTATGGTGCGATGTTCATTGCACTCCTTTGCATTGGCTTTTTTGGGAAGCAGTATGAATGTTGATTGGAGCCATTCTTTAGGTATTATACCTGTTCTATATATGGTATTGAATAGATCCAAAAGAAGATCAATAGATTCAGTATTCACAATTTTAAGTAATTCGATAGGAACTTTATCAGGCCCGGGAGATTTACCATCTTTAGCTTGTTTCATTGCATATTCAATTTCTTCTCGTATAATGTCAGGCCCAGTATCATCCTTAAATTCTTTTGGTGCTTCTGTTCTCTCTTTGTCTTCAAATAGTTGTGCTATATATTGTGTCCATCTCTGCATTTTTTGGTTTATATCTGTTATAAGTGCACCCCTTTCATCTCTTAGTTGCCTAGTTTGAAGTGTTTTTCTTATTTCTGTTAATTCTCTAATTCTTTTATGCATGTTAAAAAAGTCATATTTTTTCTCAATTTCTTCTAGTTCTTGGCTTACGAAATCATTGTTTCAACATTAATTAAAACGTAAAAATTACCAAAAAATTAGTTTTTTTCTTGAGTTAAAAGGCTTCTTTTTAGACGTTTTAAGTAAAATTTACCAATTTCAATAGCAAAAGCCACAATTTTACCATAAAATAAGTTTATTTTGACGTTTCACGTTTGAAGAAGGTTACTAAATTACCGCTTAAGAGTTCTATTGAACTGGATTAAAGACAGTCCCTTACGTTGTTAACCCTAACACTCTCCTTCTTCCCACACTCCTTTTTTCTCTTATATTTCCTTGTATTATCAATCTTAGTACTTCATATCGCTGTCCCGTCATTATGTGTCTCAGATATTATTATTATTATTATTATACATAAGCAAGGGCAGAGGGACAAG